ATATCAATCAAGTATTTTAATATTATAATATTATCTTGATAAAAAAAAAAAAAAAAAAAAAAGAAAAAAAGAATCTTTTATTTTGTGACTACTTTGATTGATATCATCATAACAATAGTAGTTAAATAATAAGATAGTAACTATTTGATTAGAATAATAATAAGAATGACCTTTGTTAATAAACAAATAATTCTTTATACAATTATTTCACATAACTTTTACTAGAACAATCAACCTTGTATTCAATACTAATTCATTATAATGAACGATATAATCATTATAACCAGCTGTTCTATTCTAGTAGGTATATAAACAAAAAAGAAATGTCATTTATCCTAAGGGTGGCTAACAAACAAATTTTTGTACTATTTATAGTCGATTGATCAAATTATAGTTTATTAAACGATTAGTAGCTAACATTATAGAATCTTCTTTTTTTTTTTTTTTTTATTCTTTTTTATTGTAAATTTTGTCATTGATATGTTTAATGACTTATTTGTGTATTCATCCATCCACTTGTTCTATTAATGACGTCAATACATGCAATCATCATTTTGAAATGACATCATGCGTAAATAATAATTAAGTCGGGCAATAAATTGACAATTATTCGAACATAAAATCTTAGTTATTTGATCAAATATATTATTTATTACGTTAAAAGTTTTAATTGAACGATTATATCATTGACTTAGAAAATCATGGGGACATTTTTTTGTTTTGTTTGTATTGTATTACGAAACCTTTGAACTGAACTTTATAGACAATTTCAAAAAAAAATAATGTACGGATGAGTTCTATTTAATAAATAATCTGTTGTTTAATTATTGAAAAAATATATTTCTTTGTTTATTTGTCAGTATATTCTTTTTTGTCATTCATTCAATTCTTTCTTTTTTTTTTTTTTTCTTTTCGCACGAATCAGCAATTTTGCTGCTTCGTTTGTAATCGTTATATTACACCTCAAGCACGCCTTTTCCCCCCTTCTCTTCTCTTATCTTTACAATATTTTTTTCCTCATTTTACATTGACTCGTTGTTGTTATTCAACACGCACGCACTTGTGCTCTCATAGAAAAAGAACACCTATCTACGAAAGAGAGAAAAACTTCTGTAGGTAAGTAAGATATATTCTCTTTGAAGAAGACTAAAACGATCAATCAAATATCATTAATACAACATAGTAACTGATATAAATGACATATACGATGAGTAAAATGCATACATATCATGGTGTGATTAATTCTCCATATATACACCTAATATAAGATTCGAATAGTATTGATTGCACAACATTGTACGATCGATTCACTCAAAATGTTCCTTTTTTTTTTTTTCTATGTATACATGTATTTATATAATCCTCGTCCGTGGCCACATTGTCTTTGTCGACATCCATGAATCGATGTATGTGTATGCATATCGATAAAAAAAAATAATTGTATATTACGCCATATATATACATGTATGTTCATACAATAATCTCTTTCTTGTCTTCTGTTACACAGACAGACAGACAGACAAAGATCAAAATAGAAATCATATATTGAAGAAATATATGTGAGTATACTTTTGTTCGAACAATTGATGAAAGACATACACAAGGAACCAGTTAAACAGCAGCTGTAGGAGTTGCTTCAAGTAGCCTACTTTATTATTTCTTTCTTTTTTTTTTCTTCTTTTCGTTGTGTACTATTAGTCGGTTATATTGTTATTCTCAGCAACATTATTTACATAATAAAAAAATCGAAGAAAGAACAAAACTTACACTACGAACTGGTTTATCAATGTGAATTTGAGTTTATTAACATAAAATAGTTTTTCTCTTTTTTTTTTTTTGTTTTTTAGCTAGAAGAAAAGTCTAGTAAATAGCACATATTTCTTTTTATCTAACATTCGATTTATTATTACTAGTAGTTGTTGCCATCTTATCACATATAAAAGAAATTGATCCCATAGAGATGAGCTTTGATGCGTATATACTTGTGAAGAGATTTGTCCTTGATCACATGTGTCTTATTCAGTGTCATTATTCTCAATGATATATATATATATCATCTAGTTAATAAAGAAGAGAAAGACAAATCTTTTTAAGATGTTCACTGTTTCCATATATAAATATTCGAACAGCATCATCATCATCATCATCGTCTTCTCATCATTGTTATAATAGTCGTATGTATGATGCTGTGCAATATATTGTATAGTGACCTCGTTCTATGTTCGACCGTATATATGTGCAAGTATTAGTAGAGAAAAGAAAGTATGTCGTGTGCAACCATACACTCACATAGATCCAAATAGGAGAAGAAAAAAAAAATTGTTGAACTAATTTGGCGTCGATGATTACTATAGAGAGAAAAAAATAGAAGTGTCGAGAGAAAAAAGAATATTTGTCGTATATGATAAATATTTTTTTTTTTGTATTTCAGATGATCAATTCAACTGATGATTCAATGGAATTGATAATTGCTGAACCACTTTCTCTTCCATCTTTATTAAAATCTCTTAATTATTATCATGAATCATCAGGTTATTCATCAAAAGAAGCTGAATGTAGTGG